GTTGCTAACAAGTAATGGAAGCTTTTACCCCGCCAATTAGCGTGGTTCGAAATGCAGGCCTAAATTATGACATGCCTCAAACCCATTCAAGTTGTTAAGCATCTCAAATAGACTCATGTGTGGTTTGTCACAGTATGACATGCTGTTATCTATAAAAATGGACAAAACTTCAGGCTACCACTGTTTTTAGATACAAAACACACTTTTGCCCATGACCCAGCCACTATGTACCATGCAGTGAATTGAATCAACCTAAATAATATAAACTTACAATTTTACCCGTCCAGGAAACGATCTGTTCTTAATAAGATGTAACAATGTAAGTTGCCCAATTACAGAGCCCTGAGTCACTCCTCTTTCGTCTGTTGTAATCTGGTGTAATTATGAGTCGGGACGGTTCCTCAAGAGGCCTGCGGCCCATCAGCCAGTGCCGGAATGCCTTTTATAACTGTCCAAGTATGGAAGAAGATGGTTCAGAGCAAGGTCTTCTGGGAGATTTGGGGCATCTGCCAGTGCATAGTGCAGATTTATGAGAGAAAAACCCATCTTCTTGTCAGAGCAGAGCAGAGGGAGTGGCAGACAGTCTCAACTCTCCACTTTCACTCTTTCCTTCTATTTCTGGACCATTACAAAATTAGGTATAATAAATCTACAAAAAATCTCTAGCCAGAGATAAATGAAAACACAAGACAAGAGAAGAATCAATTAAAACAAGGGGGGTCGAAATAAGCCAGTTCATTGAGTCCACGTTTAACAAGTCATAAATTCAGAAGCAAGGGGGATAAAGCACAGCTTAAAAGACTCAGTTCAGCCGCCGTGAATCCTCAAGCAGTGAACAAATTTGCCAATTTAATCAAGTGGGAGCTTGCATTCCACACAGTGAACAAACACAGGAATGCTCACTTAGTCTGGAGATAAACACAGTGCACACAGGGCAGATATATGACCAGAAATATTATCTAAACCACACCATGTATACTTTTAATGCATATACACTACAGGCAAAAACGTTTGGAATGCTACTGTTGTAAAATGAAACTTGACATTTAGTTTTTTAAGCCCTGCTGATTCTCCTTAAGGTTCAACAGCTGAATCAGGAGTGTTATTTTAGGAGTGTGGAAAGAATTATAAACTGTTCAGTGTAAGACAGAGTCTGAAGAATGCTAGATAACAGAATGAGAGATAACAGTGTCCTGATGACTCAGATGAGTGGTAAAATTATGAAAATATGATACTTTGTGGTTTTTGTCTACAAATCTTGATCTACAATGATGGTAAACGCCTGTTTTTTATATGCAAATCATGTGGACTGTGTAGCAGTCTGAAGTTTGTCCAGCAGGTGGTGCTACTGGCATGCACGTCCCTTTTGCGTGCATCATTTAAAGAGAAGAAACAGCCAAGAATGTATGTATTTGCAGTTACAACTTTCAATTTATTCAGTATTATATTATTTAATGAGTGATTTCCATATCATTCATGTTAAAAAAGCATATATCTGATTGTTTTCATCTGGGGTTCAGATCTGCAACTATTACCATAAACAATCCTTTATGACACGTCCACAGGTCACATAACCAAAATCACAGTGGAGAGTTAATGCCTAGGTGTTGAACTGGTGTTAAATGTAGGTGTTAATTTACTGTGACTGAAATACCTATTTACTAAAGGTGACCCTAAAAGAGTCCATGGGAAAAACTGACTATACCGATTTTTACTCAATATAACACCAAACCCCCAAAAACTATCACAATGTAAAAAAAGTAAAGAATAAAGTTTGTGTATATCCAGGAAACAGGTGTGGTTACAAGCTCTTTGTCTAAATCAGACCACTCAGCATCAAACAGTCCTATCTAATGAAAGTCACAAAGGTCTGTGTGAGAAATGTAATGCTTCAGTCTGAAAGGTAAACGGATGGGTGCTGTGCGTGACCAGGCCGAGTGCATTGCCCTGTCTGGCAGTGCAGGATTTTCAGGGCCCGTATTTAAGTTCACTTGTCCCACACACACTGATTAAAGCCAGATGTTTGCTTTCTGGTATCAAACCAAAAACACCTGTGTGCCCATCTCTCCACTGGGAGATTAAACATCAGCACTGTGATGGCCACATCTGGGATTCTGGTGCACTGGACACCAGTTTCCAGAAGGCCAAACCTTCCAAACCCCCCCCCCGAAAAGCACAGAGATCAACCTAAGGGAGTAATAGGGCCTGTCTGATTAAAAAAACAAACACTTAGTTATTGATCATTTTAAGTAGCAAAATTAAATCAGTAAGCCATGTGAGGCTGTGCATTACAGTGATTTCATCACAGTTATCACAGGGGTGTTATTCGGCACAATTGTGTCAAAATGCAATAAATAATTAAGTCATCTTAATAATTTTAGTACCGTGTTCACCGCCCTCTAGTGCCCAATGAAATATCCTGCTGTCATTAAAAACGGCACCACTTTAAACAACATGCTTTATTGGTGGGACTTCCACCGATGCTGATAAATCCATAGAGCCTTCTTATCTGACCCTTTTATCAGCTAAATGATATACTGATCAGGCTCTCTCTCTTATAAAATGGGCCACATTACTACTGCAGAAATTCCTATAGAAAAAAGTAAATTTAGGCAATTCCCCTGTCCATGCTCTGTGCACAAATGTGTTCCCTAATAGTGACTGTGGTACAAGTTGCACAAGTTTCACAGAACTCTGGTACAGTCCCATTCAACCTAATGAGAAACTGTAGAACAGACTCAGTTTATTTCACAATACCTACATTTAGAGTCAGTTATTCATTCAGCCTAATGAGAAACTGTAGAACAGACTCAGTTTATATCACAATACCTACATTTAGAGACAGTTATTCATTCAACCTAATGGGAAACTGTAGAACAGACTCAGTTTATATCACAATACCTACATTTACCTACAAATTTCGGTTCAGATGAGAATTTTCATTTTGATGCATCACTGATTACTATAAGACAGAATTACAGGAATATTATACAGAGAAGGGAAAATTATAGATTACGAGAGAAGCATTATTCAGCACCTGCAGTGTCTCATTGTGTTGTATGAATAGTCAGACAGCAGCTTATTACCGTTTTTTAGACGTCATGACTTCGGTAGAACAAGTGTTTGAGTGTGTGTAGCGGTTTACATGTGACCGGTGCATGTGTGTGTGTGAAGTAGCTCAGGGCTCAGTCTGGCCGTGTGTGTTACGGTGTTTGTCTGTGTGTCTGATCTCCAGCTGCAACTTTAACTCAATTCTCTAACAAGGGTCACACGCCTGCATCACATGGACGGCTCAGAAACAGAGCGGTGGGGGGAGCAGTTTGGGGGGTGACGGTGACTGATAATTCTGTAAATAACTTATTTTCTTTTTATTTCCTCTTTTATGTTTTGCTTACTGTTAATGTTTTACTATAAATATAACTGGAAAGTGAGAAATGGAACAGAGAGACAGAGAGAGAGAAATAGGGAGAGAGAAAGAGAGAGAGAGAGAGAGAGAGAATGAAGAAGAGGAGAAAGACAGAAAGAAGGGGAGAGAGAGAAAGAAGAAGAAGTGAGAAAGAGAATGAAGAAAGGAGAGAGAAAGAAGGGGGGAGAGAGAAAGAAGCAGAGAGAAAGAGAAAGAAGGTGTGAGAAAGAGAGAATGAAGAAGAAGAGAGAGAAAGAAAGAAGGGGAGAGAGAGAGAGAGAAAAAGAGGAGAGAAAGAAGAAAAGAGAGAGAGAATTTTTTTATTATTGACATACTACACCAAACTCTTATTAAAAAAATGAGGAAAATTCATTTTTCATTTCACTCTTTACAGACACTTAAGGTTCAGTAAGTTCTACAAAAAGACCTTAAACTGCCCCTTAAGTATATATATACACATCGGCCAGCCACCCTCAGTAAGTCAACCTCATTGTGTCTACACTCACTGTCCATTGTAACAGCTCCACTGACCATATAGGTGCACTTTGCAGTTCTACAGTTACAGACTGCTTCTCAGAATACTTTGTTACCCTGTTCTTCAATGGTCAGGACCCCCCACAGGACCCCACAGAGCAGGTATTATTTGGGTGGTGGGTCATTCTCAGCACTGCTGTAACACTGACATGGTGGTGGTGTGTTAGTGTGTGTTGCGCTGGTGCGAGTGGATCAGACACAGCAGTGCTGCTGGAGTTTTTAAACACCTCAGTGGACTGAGAACCAAAAACATCCAGCCAACAGCGTCCTGTGGGCAGTGTCCTGTGACCACTGATGAAGGACTAGAGGATGACCAACACAAACTGTGCAGCAGCAGATGAGCTATCGTCTCTGACTTTACATCTACAAGGAGGACCAACAAGGTGAGGTATCTAACAGAGTGGACAGTGAGTGGACAGTGTTTAAAAATTCCAGCAGCACTGCCGTGTCTGATTCACTCGCACCAGCACAACACACACTAACCCTCCACCACATCAGTGTCACTGCAGTGCTGAGAATGATCCAACACCCAAATAATACCTGCTCTGTGGGGGTCCTGACCATTAAAGAACAGGGTAACAAAGTATGCAGAGAAACAGATGGACTACCAAGATATACCAGTCTAAACACTGCATTAGTGACAAAATGAGACGACTGACCACAGTGTCCACTGTGCTGCTATTAGATCCTCAGCCAGACACTCACTAATTTACTACAACAGCCAAATAAGCGATCAGTTAGAGATCAGTCAGCAAACTCAACCACAAACTACAGAGTGACAGCAACCTCAGCAGGACAGCCTGCACTTCCCCACAGTCTGGACAACACCTTTAAGCTGCTTTGACCGCTCCTGTCTCAGTTCTGCTCGCCAATATCCCGTGCGAGCGCTTAGCGCTGAGTGCACTTAGTCTCGAATGGCCAAGAACTGCCCTCCACTCAGTCCACTCATTAATAACCCATGACTGCTGCAGAGCCTGCGCGTCTCAACAAACCTCCTCGCGCGGTAAGCTACAGCGCTGAGACTGACCAGAGCAAAACGAGCTTTATTAGAGCCTCTTACCGATCAGAGCCGCCGCGGAGAGACACCGCAGCATCGTGACAGATCGTCGGAAGAGTTCGCTGCTGTGCAGAGCTCCAGATGCTAAACTGTCTGATGAAGCGCTTAGAAACCACTCCCACTCCGCTGCTCAGCACCGCTCCCTCCACTCAGCCCAGCCCAATTCTCACTTCTGGATAAATTCCCAGTTCTACAAAATTTCAGTTAAACTGACCGAGATGGACATCTGGAAATGTATGGAAAAAACACCAATTTAAAGTCTCAAAGTGGAAATCTAAAAAAGCAGAAAAAAGAAGTGTCCTAGAAATATTGATACAGAGCTTTCTTAGCATTACTAGAGCAGAAAAAAGAAAATAATTCAGAAAATCATTAGATAAAAACAGTAAAACAGGTTTGGAGATGTGGTTGAGTTGGTGAGTTTGGAGTAGGTTTAGAGGGTTTGTAGGTATGGTTAAGTTGGAGGGTTTGGAGATGTGGTTGTGTTGTACTTTGGAGTAGGTTTAGAGGGTTTCGAGATGTGGTTGAGTTGGTGAGTTTGGAGTAGCTTTAGAGGGTTTGTAGGTATGGTTAAGTTGGAGGGTTTGGAGATGTGGTTGTGTTGTACTTTGGAGTAGGTTTAGAGGGTTTGGAGATGTGGTTGAGTTGGAGTTTGGAGTAGGTTTAGAGGGTTTGGAGATGTGGTTGAGTTGGAGTTTGGAGTAGGTTTAGAGGGTTTAGAGATGTGGATGAGTTGGTGAGTTTGGAGTAGGTTTGGAGGGTTTTGAGATGTGGTTGAGTTGGTCAGTTTGGAGTAGGTTTAGAGGGTTTGGAGATGTGGTTGAGTTGGAGGGTTTGGAGATGTGGTTGTATTGTACTTTGGAGTAGGTTTAGAGGGTTTGGAGATGTGGTTCAGTTGGAGTTTGGAGTAGGTTTAGAGGGTTTAGAGATGTGGTTGAATTTGAGTTTAGAGTAGGTTTAGAGGGTTTGGAGATGTGGTTGAGTTGGAGTTTGGAGTAGGTTTAGAGGGTTTGGAGATGTGGTTGAATTTGAGTTTGGAGTGGGTTTAGAGGGTTTGGAGATGTGGTTGAGTTGGAGAGTTTGGAGTAGGTTTAGAGGGTTTGGAGATGTGATTAAATTGTGGGTTTAGAGATGTGGTTGAGTTGAAGGGTGTGGAGATGTGGTTGAGTTAAAGGGTTTGGAGATGTGATCGAGTTGGTCAGGCTGGAGGTGTGGTTGGCTTGGGGTTTCGTTGGAGGTTGGAGGTCTATTTGGGATGGTTGGTGAGAGGTCAATGACTCAGCACAGCATTTCCTGTGGTGCTACTGCTGCTGCTGCTGCTGTGAACAGGAAGCTTCGCCCCCCCTGAGTTCAGAGAAACACAACAGCTTTTATTTTCTTATACAAGCACAAACGAGAGGAGAGAGACAAGGGAAAGAGAACAAAGAAATTAGAGATAAACTTATACCAAAACTGCTAAACATGAACTCAGAGTGGTTTGGTGTGAAATGCTCCGTTCTAGAGAAACTTAACAAGCCAGAATTGTTCACAGTGGTGGTGATAGGAACCAGACGTCCACCTCTAAAAGTTCCCTCACAGAAAGTTATTACATGAAATGGTTATAAATACACTGTTTTACGATTTTTTTTTTACGAGGAACAGGGAGGAGATGGTGGTGACGGTGGGGATGGTGAACGTTTCGTCACGGGAACAGAAGGTGAGGTTGAAGTTCAGGATGTTGTTGAAGGAGAATGTCTACATAGCTAAGCTGCATTGGCTTCAGCCAGGCACATTAATGGGAGTAAGGAACCACTAGATTTAGAACTGTTAATGACTGCACAGTCTGAAGGCACTTCAGGTTCCTCTACCCCACTACCTCTAGTCCTATGCAGTGGGCCAAATCACTGCAGACTTCAGCACACTGCCTCATTAAACACACCTGATTCAGCACATCAGCTAATCAGCAAGGCCTTCATGAACTGAATTCAGAGTCTTAGTTTGGGTAACCGCTGATCTCTGCAACACTTTGGCCCAGAAGGTCCCCAGTTTGACATGCATATTTTAGCCAGTGGGAAACCACTATTACCAGCAGGGGCGATTTAATGCACACGTTTAACTGGGCTGAAGCTCCGGGGGCCCCAAGCAATTCAGGGCCCTTGATTAGCCCTTTTTTAATTATTCTTTAATAATGTTTATTTGTTCCCTCTACCCTGGTAGATAAAAGGACTACTCAGTAGGGCAAATGGGCGAAGAATATTTATTAAGCCGACTTTTTAAAAAGCCGACTTTTTTTTTATTTGATTTGTTTATTGTCGGTGTATTATGGCCAATCACATTATTACACTCTCCGCCAAGCTTTGCCTTCTTTTCTCAGCCCTCCAATCACTGCACACAACCGTTGCTATCTGCCATCACCTCAAGCTTAGTTCATTATCAGTGCGCCAGAGTTTGAATTTGAAGCTGAAAGATGTTGTTGCTACTTGATCTGTGCATAGACTGTAGTTGAGCTGTAACAAAAAAGGCCATTTTGTAGTTATGTGTGTATTTTGTGCTCTTCTCTGCTCAGTTGGCAAGCTGTCCGACATGTTTATCAGTGAAAACACAGAGCTCTAAGGTGCGATTATCTACCTCAGCCGTTTGCTTGGTGTACAAAGTCATTCTTAGCCTGTATAGACGTTATAATAACAACAGCTTGAACAGAGCTGGGTAAAATATAGGTTCAGTCCCAGATGCCCTCCTACTCCCTATGTAGTGCACACTACATAGATTATTATATGCACTGCAAAAAATGAAATCTTGTTAAATGAAGTGATCATAAATCTAGTTGATATATCTCATACTTCCTTGGGATTGTGTGTTCTAGACATTTTTACTTAATTTGGGTAATTTTATTAAGTAAAATTATCTCACTATACTGGCAGATAATTTTGCTGGTTTCAAGCATATTTCTTACGACGAGCAATTATCTGCCAATATAGTGAGATCATTTTACTTGAATTAAGCTTACAACAATCTCAACGGGAGAAAAATTCGACTTTTTGATTATATTTAAGATAATTTTACCTGACAAGATACCATTTTTTACAGTGTAAAGGCTTCTACACAAAAACTCTGCATAATGTGTCCAAATAAAAGCCATTTATATTCAAAGCTGCACTACATCCTATCTTACATTTATTGCACTGTTTTGGTGGAAAGTCCCTGACTTCATGACCTGTGCAGCGCACTGTAGAGGGAGTAAGGAACCAGTTGAGATTCAGCCACAGACACAGCATGTTTTTAAAAAACAAAACTGCGCTCTAATCTGAATGTTTTCACTCACAGAAAATAACGTAATAATAATACTATTTCAAAAGATGTTCTTTAAGGGTTCTATAAAGAACTATGGACACTCAGAGAACCCTTTGCATGGTGAAATTGTTGTTTGCATCATGACAGGTTCTTCAGATTAATGGAGAATGTGCTGTAGATGGTTCTGTGCAGAACATTTTTGAAAAGGGTTCTATGTAGCACCCAAAGGGGTTCTTTTACTGTTACAATCTTGACAGTGTTATGTGCTATATATTCTCCATTAACCTGTAGAACATTTTCATGATGCATGATGCACAAACCCTTTAATCATGCAAAGGTTTTTTTTCTTTACTAAAGAGCCCTTAAAACATAATCTTTTCTAAGAGTGTTAGTATTAAACTAGGAAAGAGAATGAGGTCATCATTTTTGGTTCTGCATGTTTAAAATTGTCTACTAAGTTAGCCCACCCACTTTTTCACAGGCCTACCCAATGATTTATTTCTGCCTATGCCTGTGAATCAAATGGTCGTAGACTGCGAAGCTGACTATTTACCAGCTTCTTGCTTGAATTTAGAATGTAACTGCTGCACCATTTAAGGTGGAACATGAAAATTAGAAAAAGAAGCTGGCGAATAAGATGCTGATTTCAGCCTCATTGGGGAATCCTGGGTGTTTTTAGTGATGTTGATGGTTTTTCAGAGTAAACTGTACTGCACACTACTGAAGAATTGTTGTGCAACAGATTCGATGGATAGCTAGCATTAGCACATGTGAGCTCAAGTTCACTGCAAATTTCAAACGTTGCCAGCTGTGGCTTTTAGTTTTTTTTTGTTCTGGGTTTAAGTTTGGTGAGGCTGAAACTGTCTTCCTATTTTCCAGCTTCTTATTCAAATTTTCCATTCCACCTTAAAAGGTGCAGCAGTCACAAGCACCAGAATTTAAATGTGGCACCATTTAAGGTGGAACTGAATATTCAAAAAAGAACCTGGCAGATAAGAGGCAACTTCAGCTTTGTTTACATTTGTGCAGTAATGGAAAGATTGTAAAAGGCAGTTCTGCAACTCGCAAGTCACGCTGTGTGTAACTGCACCTGTTGTAGTCCCAGGGTCCCTGTGCAGGTTAAAGTGGCCCTGGATATCAGAGATGTTTGGCTGTATGGTACCACAAAGTTGACTTAAACTATCACGACCATCTCTTCAGTTAAACAAAGGTTAGGTGAAACTGACACCAGGCTGTTAACCATTACCACATGAAGGGGAGAGAGTGGTGGAACCTGCCGTCTCTCTCCCTAGATGCGATTCATCATTCTTGACGGAGTGGAGGTGGAGGAGTCAGTCCTTAACCGAGAAAAACAGAAAGTGGCAGGAAACATCTGCCACCCAGCAGCGGCTACAAATGTTTCACACCTTCAAAATTATAATATCACAATGAAAAAAGGCTCAGAACTGGTTGAAATGAAAAGTACACTAAAGAAATAACCTCATCACTTATGTCATAGTGAACATTTTTAGATTTTATTAGGAGTTTTACTTTAATTCACTTTACATATTGTCTTCATCATAAAATACCTTCTAACCTTGTTTTTCTTCTGAATTTCATCCACTATTTGCATATTTTTTTTATAAACTAACTACAACTAAACATGTTAAGCTTTTTTAAGATTACATTAAAGGGTCCATATCCTGCACTTTTTCTTTTACTTTAATTGTAAATGTGTTTATTTGATTTAAATTTGAGTTATTTCATTTCATTTCTTTCATTTTATTTTCTCTGGGGTCCACTTATTACATTTATGTGCTTTTATGTACCAAAAAATAATAATTCATTTTTACGT